CAAATAATTTAAATAAAACAGACCATTTTTAAGGTTCCATGTAATAAATTATTTCACCACAGCCTTTTTTAAAAGGACTGCGGATCATCAGACTTTACTTCAAACAAAAAATGAAAAGAAAATTTACACATTTTTGACACATTTAAACCGTTTAAATGTGTCAATGTCTGCTAACTCACTCATGTCTTCTCTCTCCCCCTCACTTCCTCACTTCGTTAATTTACATATGTTTAATACGGCCCGTCAAAAATGTGTAAATTTTCTTTTTCATTTTTTGTTTGGAAGTAAGGTCTGATGATCCGCAGTCCTTTTAAAAGGGCTGTGGTGAAATAATTTATTACATGGAACCTTAAAGTGGTCTTTTTTTATTATATATATATATATATATATATATATATATATATATATATATATATATATATATAAACCTTTATATATGTTTTTATTTAGAAACAACCAAAAATTTGTATTATGAATATCAAAAAATGATCTACTTTTATAATTTGAATTATTCGCATCATCTGGGAAAGATGTGTTTGACGAGCTTTGATATTTGCTTGTACAACAGCGAGTTTTAAATATTCTGAATGAGGATTGACTTACCGACTCCCCTTTTGGTCACCTAAATATTTACCGACATTCTGAATAGAACCATTGACCCAGACAGGTCGATATGTATCACATTGAGCACCCTTGATGTACAACGTCTCTATCAGTGATGAGTTAATCTATACGTGGATACCTTGGAAATTTAACGGACCATCCACTTCCTCAAATATTTTTTCTTTGAAATATATATATATATATATATATATATATATATATATGCTGTGTGTGTTTGTGTGCCTTTGTATGTGTGTGTGTGCTTGTGATGTAATGGATAGCCACTCGGAATATGACATCTTGTTCAAATTCATATCGAATACGTTAGTCACTTAAGCGCTAATAACTTTGGCTCTTCGTTTCCCCATAACTAGGATTTAAATATGAGGGCAGGATTTGTTGGCAACCAGCCTATGAGAAGGAAAGATCTCATTTCCGAAACCTATGTACACCGGTTCTCTGTACTGAATAATTACGGATATTTAAGAAAATATATGATGAATTTTACTAGCATTGTTGTTGCTAAAATAAAAATCGTAATTAACCAGTTTAATATATTTTTAGTACATTTTACAAAAATATACGGTAAAAATATTAAATTGCTTAATTTTGTTCAGATAATCGTATTTTATTCGGGAGGAAGTGATTGATCCCCTCCCCATAAAATACGATTATCCAAATATTTTTAGGTTCAGTTCGCTATGTAACTTCAACATAAAACAGACCCTTGCCAGTGAAACAATTTAAAAATCCTTTGAAACCACGTAATACCTTTCAGATGGCAGTAAGTATCTCTGTTTTTACATCACACTAGTAGGAAAGGGGGTGATCGATTTACGTTGACTTTACATAGAGAACTGAAACCCTTCGTAAAATTGAAACAAATCAATAAAGGAAAAAATAGATAATAGTAAATAAATTGAAAAAAGATCTTCTAATAAATTCCAAATAAAATTTAGACATTGGAATTGGAATCGGAATTTCTGAATTAGAAAACAAAATATGCCGTTTTTTTCCATTGCTGCATTAATTAAAAATGCCATTTAGAATTACTATCCATTACTCCACGTACTGTGGAGTAATGGATAGTAATTCTAAATGGCATTTTAGCGGAGAGCCGAGTTCGAATTCCAGTCGAATCAATTACATTCACTTACATGCTAATATCCTTGGGAAGGGTATGAATCCTCTTCTTCTCCCCACCCCTACTCAGCTATGGGTAAATAGCAGGACAGACCCGGTTCTGTGGCCTTGGATGGCAACCAGTCTACCGCAGAAAGAAATGTCAACCTACTGCGGGGAAAAAATATCTGCCTCATCAGTCATAGTCTTTCTATATTTCTGAGATGAGGTATTATGTACATTATTTACATTATTTGGACTATTGTCCTCATCTTTTACGCCATATCTATCACAACGTTTCGGTCGTTGTACGCTCCGGTCTTCTTTTGGTGGTTGGAATGTCGAACCCTTTATTTCGCTCACTGAGGTAGACTGTTCTAATTCCACGTGCCATGTTTAATGGATGTCAGTTATCAGTTATCTCCTGTTAATTTTCCCTCTGATACCCACGTTTGAGTAGACGCTCCCTTTATTTTTTAAACAGTACTTTATTTCGTCTGAGTCTGTCAATTTTTCTGAGATGAACTTTCAGAGGGAAAATTAACAGGAGATAACTGATAACTGACATCCATAGTCCGAATAATGTAAATAATGCTCATCAGTTATGTATCGAAAGATACATGATCACCTAAGCGTGTATCACACATGGCACATAACTAACAGAATGTCATAATTAAATTAAATCTAAATTATGTTACAACCTTTCTTAAAGTTAAATCTTAAAGAGCAGGTCATTGATCATGCTGTTTGGCATCATAGTATCCGTAGGGACACTGTGAAGGCGGGTATAAGCAGGGGTCAACTTGCAGTACCGGAACGGGATCAGAGAAAGTGTGCTGAGGCAATCCGTCCCACCCAGGCCTCTTTCCTCATTTCTGCCAATTGCATAGAGAGTTCCACTTGCACATCAGCCTGCATAGTCATAGCAGATGTTGCTGTAACCCTACATCACTTCAGAAACCGATCTATTCTTGTATTCTGAAATTTTCGGTTGATGAGGTGTATGTCAAAATTATTCTACAATTTCATGAAGGAAACTTATTTAGGTTAACTGTACAGTGAATACTGATTGTTTTTGACAGTCTATGATTAGTGGCTTAAGTTTATGTGTTACATTAATTTTAGAATAATAATAATAATAATAATTATTATTATTATTATTATTATTATAACATTGTTCTCGTTCCACCTGCCATGCCTCCTCCGGATGTCTCAGTTATCTCACTTTCACTTAACTCTCCAAGTTTTTGCTCACCACTGCAGTAGCCAAGTGCTGAACACAACACTTTGGGACAAGTGACTGGATCCAGCCAACGATTTTGTCAACTGAGAAGAGCCATGGTATGTGGAACCGGTGGATGAAATAAAGAGTTCAGTTCGAAATTTCAATCACCTGAAGAAGGCCGGAGCGTACAACGGTCAAAAGATCGTGAATATGGCAATAAAGATGTGAACATCAATCTGAACAATGTAAATAGACTTCTGGATGCTTTTAAGTTAACCAGTGTTAGAAAATTATCAGTTTGGACATAAAAAAAAAAGTCTCAAAATTACTTGACTTTAATTTTCTTAATGATAATTTTTCTTAAAATATGTGAAAATCAGAAAAAGTGCATTCTTTAAGATGATGTCAAAAGTTGCTCTACGATATTATGGAGGAAATTAATTTGCATGTCAAAAGTAGCTTTACAATATCATGGACGAAATTTATATGCATGCCAAAAGTTGCTTTAAAATATCATGGAAGAAATTTATTTTCATGTCAAATGTTGCTTTAGAATATCATGGAAGATATTTATTTGCAAGTCAAAAATTGCTTTACAAAATCATGGAAGAAATTTATTTGCATGTCAAAAGTTACTTTACAAAATCATGGAGGAAAGTTATTTGAATGTCAAAAATTGCTTTACAAAATCATGGAGGAAATTTATTTGCATGTCAAAAATTGCTTTACAAAATCATGGAGGAAAGTTATTTGCATGTCAATAATTGCTTTACAAAATCATGGAAGAAATTTATTGCATGTTAAAAGTTGCTTTACAAAATCATGGAGGAAAGTTATTTGAATGTCAAAAATTGCTTTACAACATCATGGAGGGAAATTTATATGCATGTCAAAAGTTGCATTACAATATCATGGAGGAAATTTATTTGCATGTCAAAAGTTGCTTTACAATATCATGGAGGAAATTTATTTCCATGCCAAAAGTTGCTTTACAATATCATGGAGGAAATTTATACGCATGTCAAATGTTGCTTTACAATATCATGGAGGAAATTTAGTAAGGTTAACCGTACGGTGACTACTGATTTTGAAGATTTCACAAACAAAGAAGTAGGTTTTTTTCCCAGTAAAAAACTTAAGAGCCACTCAAGCTAGAAGCTGTCTCTGTGGTGTTCTATGAGCGTAGGAAAATGCAAGGTTATGTAGGAAAGATAACGATTAACTCAAGACGTGAAGAGGTCAAGATTGTCGTTACACGAAAAGCACCCTACCGGGAGTCTATTCCACAAAGCAGCATTTCTTGGGAAAAGCTTCCCAAATAGAAATTAATACTAATGGAATAAAAAGAGAATGGGAATGATTCATTCTTGTGTATGTGGCATGGTGAGTCCTAATTGCAAAGTTCATGGCTGGCGGAACCATGGAATATAGCATGTCAGGACACTTGACATGGAAACAACGCTAGAATAGTGAGAAGCTTTCGCCGTTTCGTCTGTAGAAAGGGTTTGTAGAATGGGGAATAATTCATCACCCATAAGAGAGGTAAGTGAAAACTGGTCAGTTCCAGATCAGATATGCCAGCAATACACCACATAGTCTGATCTGGCTCTTGTATAGCAGAGGAAGTCAAATACTTACTGGAGCGTTACAAGGAACTGGCCATTTTTCAAGAATTTAATACATATTTTTCAAATCATATATATAATTTACATTAATTAGATTCTTCGAACTGTTGTCCTCATGTTTATTGCCATATTTATGACGTTTCGGCCGTTGTACGCTCCAGCCTTCTTCAGGTGATTATAACTTCGAACTGAACCCTTTATGTCGTTCATATATATATATATATATATATATATATATATATATATATATATATCAGTTCAGCATTTTTTTTGTCAGTGTATTCATATTTATTCATCTATATAGAAATCTCACTTTTCTAATACTTACCTCCGGGAGGAAGCAGAATAATTCTATGTTGAGTTCAATTGGAGTGACATAATCTTCCACTTTTTTTCCTCAAGACATTAGGGTTTTGTGCTTGTGAATGGAGCAATGCAACAATGATCTATCCTATCTATCTATCTATCTATCTATCTATCTATCTATCTATCTATCTATCTATCTGTTAGAGTCTGTTCAAATGGTGAATGGGGGCAGAGAGATAGTGTGAATATAGGAATGAACACTGCACAATTTCACACTTCATTTAATCGTCAGTTCAAAACCTGGTCTTTGTGTGAAGAATGCATTGAAGCTTGAAACTGATAGTCACTATGCAGTGTTGATTCTTATGCCCACATTGTCCCTTCTTCATCTCTCGGTCACTTTGTCACTCACTCTCTATATATTTGTGCGTGTTTTCATTTATATATTTTAAATGTGAGTATATCTATCTATCTATCTATCTATCTATCTATCTATCATATTCTCTTTCTTATCTGTCTATCTATCATATTCTCTTTCTTTATCTATGTATGTATGTATGTATGTATGTATGTATGTATGCATGTATGTATTTATCTATCTATTTTCTTTTCTTCGTATCTATCTATCTATCTATCTATCTATCTTATTCGCTTCGTATATATCTATCTATCTACAATTCTCTTTCTTATCTATCTATAATATTCCCTTTCTTTATCTATCTATCTATCTATCTATCTATCTATCTATCTATCTATCTATCTATCATATTCTCTTTCTTATCTATCTATCTATCTATCTATCTATCTATCTTATTCCCTTTCTTTCTTTCTTTTTTTATCTATCTATCTATTTTATTCACTTCGTATCTATCTATCTATCTATCTATCTATCATATTCTCTTTCTTATCTATCTATCATATTCACTTTATCTATGTATGTATGTTTGTATGTATGTATGTATGTATCTATCTATCTTGATCGCTTCGTATCTATCTATCTATAATTCTCTTTCTTATCTATCTATAATATTCTCTTTCTTTATCTATCTATCTATCTATCTATCTATCTATCTATCATATTCTCTTTCTTTCTTTCTTTCTTTCTTTCTTTCTTTCTTTCTTTCTTTATCTATCTATTTTATTCACTTCGTATCTATCTATCTATCTATCTATCTATCTATCTATCTATCTGTCACTGACTAATTTCCTTATAATATTTTCCATCTTCTCCGACTCATAACATAAGTAATTGATATTATTAGCGCTTTGACATTAACACCAGATCGATTTCAATACGCGTCACTTTTTTGACATTGTATTGATTCAATCCATCACCTCGGATAAAAAAAAATGTTCTAAATGTACCTTTGTGTTCACAGGTGAAGTTAATGCTGTTGAAATAAATGTAGATTTCTAAATGTTCATTTATCGATTAGCACCAGCGAAAATTATTTGAAATGAAACTCAGATTTTCGATTGGCATTTCCAAGCGTCATTCATTTGTCGAACACACGCAAGTGTGCCTGTCTGTTTTCAGGCGGGTCTTTCAACGAAAGCGAATAATGAAGGTCGGCTGAACAAACATGGATGGGAGGCGCGCTAATACGCATTTTAATATGAAGATATTACTTTTTCTAAATTTCATAATAGATTTTGTGCAAGACACGCTAAAGAGTAGTACTAACAAAGAACAAGACCCCATATCCATAACGCGAACAATCTATCCTGCAGATTAAATTCAGTACGAAATTTCCAAAACATTACCTTGATCGTCTGACACCTAAAAAAGCCGGATTGCTTAAACGTGGCCGGAAATTTGGCCGATGAACATTTTGCCAACGGACATTTCACTGAAAAAGTACAAGTTAAAATAGTAACAAGCAATATTTTAAGTATTTTAATTAGTAGTATTATAAGATAGAATAGAACTTATAATTACCACTGAATTTTAATTGATTAAATTACTAAATATATATTTAAATTTTAAAATGTTTTCTTTTTTTCAATATGTGTTTATTGAAATTAGTATTTTTAAAAAAAATTGAGTGTATTTAGGTAAATAAAAGTAGCACCTAATTATTTAAATTCGTATTTAACAGTTAGATAAAATCTAGTTCATCCCTTTAAGATAATGATCATTAAAAGTGAAACTGAAAGATCTTTCATATCGGAAAAATGCTTAAGATTTTTGCTGTAGGGAAATTTGCTTTTTCTGAAAATACTTATCATCTTACAGTAATATTTGAAATAAAATATAATATATACTTGAGATATTTGGAAAAAGCCTGTCAAAAAAAAAAACGAAAAATTATAAATTAATACAGTAAATAAATATAAATATATGTAGCCCATTACGGTAAAGAGTGTGATATACATGTAAGTACGCCACTACATTTTCGGCTAAATGTCCATTCAATTAAATGTTTCACAGTCGTCTGCAGACATTCAGTGTTCCAAGCCTCATTTTGATTTTTCCAAACATAAACCTGTCTCGAATTCGAATATTGGTAGAATTTACTTTCATCTGACCAAATTATAGACTGCCAAAATACATAATATTTACTCTCGAATTCATACGCCTGCTCCTGTTAACCACTGGAATCAAGGGCTTCAGTTTTTGCAACTCTTCTTTTATAGCCTAGCTCTTTTAGATGTCGACATATCCATGCTTTTGGCGACGTCTTTGACGCTCTGGCGACGGCTTCTGATGACTTCCATCTTTAACGCCCTTTTTGTTCGCTCAGACACGATGCTTTGTCTTCCTGAACGTTGTCCCACATGACAATGGCCTTCTTTATTAAATTTCTTGACAATATTATTAACCGTTTGATGATTAACCTGGAAAAATCTAGGAATTTCTCTATTTGACTTGCCACACTGATACCATCCTATTATTTGTCCTCGTTGAAATTCACGAATATCCTTACTTCCGTGAACATTCATTGCAAAATATAAATCAACTATCGTTCATAGATTAGAGCAGCTTGATATTAACACGATATTGTCTGAAAAAAAAGAAAGAAAAGACTTTATTACACAAGGCAAAATTGCTTTAATTAAGGGTAGCTGAAAACTTATAGTCCACTATATAAGAAATGATTTTATCAAGTATCTCATGTATCATACGAGTTTCTTTTTTGAGAGACCAAAATACAACAGATTAATGCCATTTTCTGTATTTCCTTATCCCATCTTCTTAAATAAGTTAAAAAAGTAAAATAGAATGGTAAAAGTATCTTTAGTAGCGCTATACTCGTTGCGTAAATGCGTACAGCCATGAACAACCGAACGATAAACAGCTAAACATCTTATGAACGTAAACAATGGAAAAGATGCATCTTCGCTATGTTTGTATTTTATAATACGATACTAATATGTGACTATTACATGCATTATTATTAGGTACCGTTAAGTAAAACATCAGTTTTACCAAATTCCTTAATTCCGTGAACTTTCATTGCAAAATATAAGTCAACTATCGTTCATTGATGAGAGTAGCTTGATACTAGCAGGGTATTGTGGGAAAAAATAAGAGGCGTTATTACACAAGCCAAAATTGCTGTAATTAACGGTGGCTAAAAACTTATCATAGTCCACTGAAGAGTGGTTGCCAGCCAAAACTAATGAGCCAAGAACTTTGTCCTACTATTTAACTCATAGAGAATTTGAGACGAAAAGTTGGTTTCATACCATTTGCAAAAAAAAAAGAAAAAAAAATCACCCGTAAACGGTTTAAATAGATTTCGCACCGTTGGCGATTGGCTGTTGGTCAATCTCCAATCAAATGTGTGATAAAGGGGTATATTTATAGAAGTCAGTGTCTACAAGCATTTTTAGAGGGTGTTTCAGAGTCTGATCAGCTCTGATGGGGTCGATTTGGTGAGGTCAGTATGATGTTTGAAAGACCCGAAACTGCCCAATGATCCATCTCCAGAACATCACTGACGACGCCCTCTAGCGCTAAAAGAGCGTATATTCAAAGCAAGGTTATTTGTGTAAATAATCGTCTCACTGTACCACCAGAGTACGTACCTGACTCCACGGTACGTACTCTGGTGGTACAGAGTAAATTCACGGCATTTATAATAGTCAGAAATGGATTACTGCTGTCATATTTGAGCGGGAGCTTCCTAGTCCTTAGTTCCCAGTCTTGATAGAATTCAAAAGCATCTTCGAGTCCTTGTTGGAGAAGAATTATTTTCCACCCTCCAACCTATGTCTCACAGGCGGGATGTGGCGATTCTCTCACTGCTCTCTGACTACTACCATGGAAAGTGCTCAGACGAACTACAGTCCTTAGTAACGCCTGGTCTAACCTTAACGGCTAGGACCCACCATGCCAATTATATTGTAGCAAACCCCACCCATATCCCCTCCGTATTACATCAGAAATAAGTAAGTTCCCCTCAGACAGCTTCTTCGCACGAACTACTGCTCTATGGAACAGACTCCCAAGAGGTTGTTTCCCCGATCACTATAATCAAGTCTAGAGTTAACCGTTATCCTAGTTCCACCAGTTCAGACCTTAAGGACTAAGACCTGTCATGCCACGCACAGAAAAGCGAACCACCCTCATTCCCTTTGTAAACCTTTGGTGAGATGTACGTTTCACTCGAGCATCCTCTCCCCAAGAACCGCTTTTACGTGGAAACGATTCCCAAGAAGTTCGCATCCCCGATCACTACAGTCTTAACCTGTTTCAGTTTAAGGTTAACCGTTATCTTCCCCTCTTATTCATATATACCCCTTTTCCTAATATTCTACCTCGGGTGGCCCTCGATTCTTTTACAGTGTGAACCTTACTGTAAAAATATATATCTCGTTAAATATATCTAAAATAGTTTTTGTACCTCGTGATGCAATCAAAAGGAGCCAAAAAATACTGTTGTCATATTTGTGCGGGAGCTGCCCAGTGCTCAGTTCCCAGTCTTGATAGAGTTCAAAACCGTCTCCGAGTCCTTGTTGGAGGAGAATTATTTTCCACCCTGCAACCTCTCTCTCTCACGGACGGGATGTATCGAGTCTCTCACTGCTCTATCGCTACTACCATGAAAAGTGCTCGGATGATCTACATTTCTTGGCTCACATTCCCTCCATATTCGATCTTTGGGAAGTAAGTTCCACTCGAAGAGTTTTTTCTTCCCGTGAACCACTTCTCTGTGGAGCCAACACCTAAGAGGATGTTTCCCCGATCGCTACAATTTTAACATGTTCAATTTTAACATCCAATTTTAAACTTTAATTATTTAATCCCTACTCAAAATAAATAAACAGTATTTGGAACTAGTTTGGAGCAGGTCCTCCATTTGCTAGTTTCAGTGGTTGTATTCGATTTTTCATGGATTTGATCAAGTTATCAACAATCGTCTGAGCCATAATTTGCCACTCCTTTAGCAATGTTTCTTCTATGCATAAACCCTACCTATTAACATAACCGTCTGCCTCGAGTGACCACGGGGTCTTGTACAGGGTGAACCTTACTGTAAAAAAAAAGGAAGTAACGAATTCGTTTGGGTTTCGAAAGCGGGTCTCCGGGTTCTCGTTCTAGGCCGCTAGACATTACACTATTAGCACATCCACTGGCGGAGAATAAGTGAAACGGAATACAATTTGACGAAACTTGCTGTCACTTGCTGTGACCCATAAATCCCATCGTAGGTAAGATACGAATAACCGGGATGATCAACTAGCCCACAAAACCTCAGGCATATGACAATCTTACCAACGATAGTATTAAATGGATAATGTATTTGTTTTGAGATCAGTATCGAGCTATCAACAAAAAGAGAAACTAATTATGGTCACTTCAGAAAGTCATTTATGCGCAACAGTCCAAATAAAAATTGAAAACAAGAAACAAAGACGGAAGTAATTCTTGCTTTATTTACCGACTGATTCCCACTTGGGATTTACAGATTGGCCATTCTAATCGTGAGCCAGTCTGATCAGTACACTGGTCATTCATCTAATACAAACTAATCACTAATGATTAAAACGCCATTATCAAAATATCAATACTTCAATGGAGCCCGTCCGAATCTTTGGATCGATAACGATGGTAATTAAACAGATAATACCTTCATTCAAATGTCTTCCGCTGGGTAGGCCCGTTATCTGACTGGCTGGGTGGCTGGCTGGCTGTCTCCATTAGCCACTGTTAATAACTAACAACTGTATATTAAATTTAGTGGTTTAGAACTATG